CAAAGACCTACATATACAAACACCCGCAAAACATATACATATACATATATATATATATATATATATATATATATATATATATATATATATACACACACATATACATATACATATATACATATATGTATATGCATACATATATACATACATGTATACATATATACATGTATGTATATACATATACATACATACATACACACATACATACATACATACACACACATACATACATACGGCAAAGATGTAAAGCAGTATGGGGATTTACTTCCAGGTTAGTGTAAACAGAATTACAACTTACGGGTTATATAGTGCAGCAGAATCAAAATCACAGACTGCAATATCTTAATCTATTTGTCTATCAGATATACTGTGGGAAAGCTTATAGTAAGACTGCATATATCATATTAGATTTGGAAATAAATAAATCAGACTGGAGAAAAGAATGATTGGTGGGAAGCAAAACTTATTCTGAGAGGGGACATTAAGCACTCTGCCAAAATTAAAAGTTTACAGCATACTTTAGCTAGCAAAAGCATTTGATGGGATAACACAACACTTCCTTTCTTTCCATTAATGAATCAACAAAGATTTACATGTGCTGAAGTTTCATTCAGACATGTACATCATTTAAATTTCCAGCTCTGTAAAACAAATAATTAGCACTAAATTTACATCACTTGCACAAGTATAATATTTTATATTTATTAATGTTTTAAAATCTTAAGCATTCTCAACATTTTGATATATAATATTCTTGTTTTGTTTTTAAAAATATAAACTTATTTAAAAGGATAATGCAAAAAAAATGATCACACAATTAAACACAGACAAAAATGTAATTTACAAAAGTAAATTAACTGATACTGTGAGAATCCATACCTAACTTCTTCCCCAGATGTTTCTCCTTAGAGGCTATAATGAAAACCTCATGTCACCAAAATCTAGAATGTTGTTCACAGCATCTCTAAAATCCATATAAATAGAATAGACAATAGTTGAATAATTATATTTCCAAATCTTTCATGGAATTGAATGTCTCAAATTTTAAAAAGGACAGTGGAAAATGCTGTGTACATGAAGAATGGTTAAAAATAAGGAACTTAGCATTACAAAGCACAACTTAAAATGCTGAGAAGGAAAATACTGCCAACTAGATTGCATGCTCAGTTGATAATACTTATTAAACAGCAATTGGCATTATGTGGCAAACTATTGTATTTACAAATTGTTTTAGTTGCCACATGACCACAGAAACATCTTTAGACAGCCCTGGCTTAACAGCCTCAAACTGGAGATAAGCAGGGCTTATCAGTAATGGCTAGCAGAATAAAATCTGAAGGGACTCTTTTACCTTTCCTTTACCCATCTTACATCAAATTCTGGGCAGCTCCTAACCAACAATTCAAATAACATTGTACCATGAATGCATACTTATATCTATTAAAAGCACAAACATTTAAACCAGGCATCATTAAATTTTAATGAGTAAGTCCACTAATAAGTTTTCTTTTCAATCTCACCCTATCCCAGTGCCTGTCTTAAATGCTTTTCAGAAGGCTGGAGGATGGGGCCTGCCAAACGTCAGAGAGGGGTGTTCCGTAAGGTAGGGTTGCTATGGAAAACACACATTTCTAGATCCCATAAGATGGCAATGTTTAAGGGAAGGGACTAGTAATATGCCCATCCTATCTGATCTGACAGTAGGCTATAAGTCCTTGGGGAGATACAAATAACTTGGTCCTGTGTCATATAGGGCTTTCAAGGTAATAACCAGTACCTTGAATTGCATCTGGAAAGAAACCAGGAGCCAATGAAAGTCACACAACAGAGATGTTACATAGACAAATTTAAAGACATCTATCACTGTGCATGCCACTGCATTTGGATCAGTTGTAGATTCCAGGTGATCTTCAAGGACAGCCCCAGGTACAGCATGTTGCAGTAATCCAAAAAGGAAGTGACAACGTATGAGTGACAGTGAGCAAGGCCTCCCAATTTAGGAGGTAAACTGGCAGACAAATCTGTGCAAAGGCCCTTGTATCATGGCTGCCACCTGTTCCTTAAGCAGAAGCCATGAGTCTAGGAGGACATGCAAATTTCACCCAGCCTGGAGGAGTGCCACAAACACTTTATCCAGATTCAAAGATGAAATATCATCTGAAGCAGGAGGGATAGCCACAAACCCAAAACCAATCTGTCTTGCCAGGATTGAGTCAAAGCCATCTCCTCCCCATCTGAACCCTTACAATCTCCACATGACCAGCATCACCACAAGATCACCTGTCTGGCTAGGAATAGAAATATATAATATTTGTATACTGATAGATGTTAAAAGGAGCAGCAAAAAGCTTGAGCCCTAAGACATCCCATATTGCAGGGGGTAGGTTTGACCCTCTTCTTGCACCAACAGACTGAAATCGCCACAGAGCAACAAGAAGAACCATAATAACACAGTATCTCTCACTTCCAACTCTCAAAGCCAGTCCAGAAAAATATCATGGTTAATGGTACTGAAAGCCTATAAGAGGTCCAAGAAAACCAGGGTGATTGTACCATCTCTTTCTTGAGCCCTCCAAAGGTCATAGACAAGTATGACCAAAGAGAGATTAGTCATTGCTTGGACCTAACAACAAGCTATTTTTGGGATGCCAACCAACCAACCACCATGGATCCAGAATTCAAGTGGCTGAGTCTATAGCCAAAGGACTCTGTACACTTCCTCAAGAGCAACTATTTTGAACTTCAGATAACAAGGTTCAAACCCCAGATAACAAGACTCAGATGCATCCCTCTCTTCCAAAGGATCTACGTAGTAGACTAAGTAGATTGATCAACTCAATCATTGAGCAACGTTTTCTGATAGATGCCAAGAATATTCCTCATAGTGACCCTGCAAGGACTCCCCAGCTTCTCCTTAACCAGGAAGGATCTGGTTGCCCAAAACAGGGCCACTGATCAACTATTTACAGATGCAATGAGAGTAGAAAAGTAATTATGCTTTGTTATCACCATAAGGTAAGTTCCAATATGGGCACTTATATATTCTTGGTCAGCCTCACTTTTTGTTTTTGTCTAGTGACACTCTAGGTGTCTCTTATGAGTGTTACATTAATCAGATATATTTTTAATATTGTTTCATTTTCTGTGTACAGTGAAATTACTTTTCCCCCTAACTAGATTTCTTATGCATGTGGTTATCATGATAGTCATAGAGGTATAATGCAACATGGTACTATGAATTTTACTAGCATTGTCCATTAGATTGGACTCAATAAATTAACCCAGCTTAAAATCTTGTCCTAGGACGAAGGATCCTTTGCCAACTTTAATGCAATGGAGTACATGCAACTTTGGTTGTTGTGTTGGATTGTTTTTGTTTCCTTTTTATATAAGGTATTAGAGAAGATGGCCAGTTTGACCTGATAGTAGTAATACCAGCTATTGTACAATAGAAGTAGAAGACAGGATACAACAAGTAGAATAACTGAGAATACGATAGTAAATGCGTAAATAGATAGAAAGGAAATGGGTTTTGACATGAAATTGTTGAAACAATTTTGGTTGCAAGAGATGTTGGCATATTCCAGATCTTTGGTGCAAATTGCTATGATGGCACATATTGAATAGTGGCTTTTTTTTACATAAGCCAAATTCTTAGACAAAAATAAATAAATCACATTAGTAAATAAATTGAAGTACATATATATTTTTCCACATGCATAGAAACATTGTTAATATGATTATTAAACATGCTGGCCTTTTTTCACCATGAATATTATCACAGTTCCATCTAATGAAATACCATAATTTATGAATACTAACTGAGTGGCACTCAGAATTCAAGCATTGGTCTTTTTTCATGCAAAAGTATGCTTTACATAAGAACTAATGATTTTTATTGTTCTAGTCCTACATGGATTTGTTATAGCATCCCAAAAATAGCTTGTTGTTAGGTCCAAGCAATGACTAATCTCTCTTTGGTCATACTTGTCTATGATCTTTGGAGGGCTCAAGAAAGAGATGGTACAGGGCTTTTCAACCAGTAATACGGGTACCACCTGTGTACATTGGCACCTGGCAGGTGGTACGCAACCATCCTAGAAAAGTGGTAGTGGGGGAGGGGAATGAGCTGAACCAGTGGCAGCACCGCACAAGCCTAACCAAGAGATGGCTGGAGCTGCACAGCTGTCAGAGCTCAGCTGTCAGGATCAGTGTCGCTTTCCAGTTGATTGGCACTTCTTCGGGGCTGTCAGGGCTCAGTGGTAGAGCCAGGATCAGCGCCAGGCTCTGGCTGGAGCTCGGCGCTGATTCTGGTGCTTCTGCTGAGCCCTGAAGAAGCACCAATCAGCTGAAAAGCAGCACTGATCCTGGTGCTTCTGCTGAGCCCAGAAGAAGTGCCAATCAGCTGGAATGTTGCAGCATCTCCAGGGTTTTGTGATTTACATTCAGATGCTTGGCAACTGATTCATATTTATGACGGTTACAGTGTCTCAGGGTCATGTGAAGTGACCAAAACCTGCTGCACCACCCAGCAAACGGGGGGAATAAAAACCAAACACCCCCCCACCCCATCCCCACTGCCAATCCTCAACATAAATGCTCACAACAATGAAAACCTCGGACAAGAGGAAGAGCGCCACTGGGTGGACAGGTGTCTTGCTCGGCTGTGGCTTGGGGGCACTTTTTTCAGTGCCATTGTAACTTCAAACAGTCACTAAGCGAACTGTTGTAAGTCGAGGACTACCTGTACTTTATCACTTTTTCCTTTTTTTTTTTTTTTTTTTGGTCATCAAGTTTTTGACACCTTGCTAGGCGACTGGTGGTACTCGGATGCTGCCATATCCTAAAAGTGGTACAATGGGTGAAAAGGTTGAAAAGCCCTGTGTTATAGCATATATTAATCAAACCAAATTTTAAAATTAACCAATTCTACATCTTAGTAATAGTTCTTGTATAATCCAATCCCAACTCTGAATTACTTCAATTAATCAGATACTCACGAGATGTTTTCGAAGCAAGTAAAGTGACTCTGGAGCCAGCTAATAATTGAAATCCTAACACATTAAGTTGATCTTCATCAATTTGATCAGCAAAGTCTACATGAAAAAGAAGAAACACAGTTTGCATCATTTCTTCCAAACTTCCTTCTTTATTGCAGGCATTTTCTTATTAAAAAGGCTTATTGTTTGAATTTTTACCTGAAAAAAGAGTAATAAGGCTGACTGTAGGTTTGTTGGTATCAATAGTTAACTTCTGGCTTGCTGTTTTTGAAGGCTGAGCAGGAAAACAAACGAGCCGCAAAGGTAATCGGAATTTGCATTGGGCAACCCTTGGTGCACCTGAAATAAATCATTCATATATAAAATACCCCAATTTTAGGAATAGGCAATAATGCATCTCTAAGCCTGATCTTTGGTGTCACTTTTGATTTTTTTTAACGTTTAATTTATAAGGGAAAGAGAAAATTATATTGCAACACTGCATTTTCAGTAATGTTTCTAACACCTATATAAGATACATAGCTGTTTTTAGATCATAAAAAGATAACATGGTGCCCATCCCCACAGAAAGAAAGACCAAGGTAAAATTGAGATGGTACATTATATTTCAATGTTTTATTTTATAAAGTAACTAACAATTGTTTCTACAAAGACATTGACATAAAATGTTATATAAAGAATTATTTTCAAATAAACTACTATAATTATTTTATTATTTATTTATATTCTCTAATAATTTACCTGCTGCAGTATTGTACGATGCTATAACACTACCTTCCAAATCTGCTGGTAGATAGTTCCCTTTTAGAAAAGCAAAAAGTACAACTTTTTTAGATACAGAAGATTCTGTGAACACAAACAAAACAATGAAAAGGTAAATTGGAAAATGAGACTGAGAAATTTGTCTATGAAATTATAACAAAGAAACATCAGTTCAGTCGCAACTCATTATTCATTCATTCTTTATCCTATACTGAAAAAGACTTGTAATGCTATTTACATGTCTTTTTCATGTAAAAAATTAGTGTATAATAAAAGAAACCTGAAATTACTGAAATTTGTCAAATATTTCATTCAAAATCATAATTAGTCCAATAGATTAGGGCTTTTCAACCATTTCACCCATTGTACCACTTTTAAGATATGGCAACATCTGAGTACCACCAGTCGCCTAGCAAGGTGCCAAAAACTTGATGACAAAAAAAAAGGAAAAAAGTGATAAAGCACAGGTAGTCCTCGACTTACAACAGTTCGCTTAATGACTGTTCGAAGTTGCTATGGCACTGAAAAAAGTGCCCCCAAGCCACAGCCAAGCAAGACACCTGTCCACCCAGTGGCGCTCTTCCTCCTGTCCGAGGTTTTCATTGTTCTGAGCATTTCTGTTGAGGATTGGCAGCGGGGATGGGGTGGGGGGTGTTTGGCTTTTATTCCCCCCGTCTGCTGGGTGGTGCAGCAGGTTTTGGTCACTTCACATGACCCTGGGACACTGCAATCGTCATAAATATGAATCAGTTGCCAAGCATCTGAATGTAAATCACAAGACCCTGGAGATGCTGCAACATTCCAGCTGATTGGCACTTCTTCTGGGCTCAGCAGAAGCACCAGGATCAGTGCTGCTTTTCAGCTGATTGGTGCTTCTTCAGGGCTCAGCAGAAGCACCAGAATCAGCGCCGAGCTCCAGCCGGAGCCTGGTGCTGATCCTGGCGCTACCAATGAGCCCTGACAGCCCCGAAGAAGCGCCGATCACCTGGAAAGCGACACTAATCCTGGTGCTTCCGCTGAGCCCTGACAGCTGTGCAACTCCAGCCATCCCTTGGCCAGGCTTGTGCGGTGCTGCCACTGGTTCAGCTCATTCCCCTCCCCCACTACCACTTTCCTAGGATAGTCGTGTACCACCTGCCAGGTGCCAATGTACCATAGGTGGTACCCGTACCACTGGTTTTAAAGCCCTGATCTATTCAACAACAAAATGTCCCAGTATTAATTGGAGCATTGTAAACTACTATTAATGTCCCAGTATTAATTGGAGCATTGTAAACTACTATTTTTTTATTTTACATGCAGTAGAATCTATTTACTAAACTATGAGACACCAAAACAACAACAACTTTAAGGAATACAGAGCTCTGAAGCTATCTCACTGCCTTGGATTAACTGTAATAGCGAAGGTTTCTGCATCTGTGGTGCATTGCAAGAGGATCTTTTGCCTAGCAGGAACCAGTCCCTTCATAGCCTTATACTTTGGATTACACCCAGCTAGAGACATGTCAGGTAGGATCCCAGAAGCTCCAAACTAAAATAATGTCTTTCTCCACATAGGGTTTAATTAATCATCCTCATCCCTCCAAAAACAGGTTGAAATCATTGAAGTTTGGCAAATTTTATAAAACATTTTATGAAATTAAAATCATCATAAAAAGGTATATAACATAATACAAAATCACATAAACTTTTTTCTATGCTGATGTTTGACTGGGCTATACAGTTCAAATTGGGCTATTTTCAAGGAAGATACATCTCTGAATGTATCCCACATTTTCCAATGAAAGCAATATATTAGAATCTCTATCATTGTTGGACACATTGAAGAATCTGATCTAAGGAAGTATCTCTGAAAGCATGACCCAATGGGTTATAGATTGTCATTAAATAATTAAAGTTTTCTGGTTAACAGAAAAATGGACAAGTTATTACAAATCTCTCCAGTTGTTAAGGATAGTTCTCCCTATAAGAAATCTCACTTTCTATCATGTGTGGGGGGGGAGAATTATTGCGTTGCTCCAAAGCAATGCAACACATACTGAGAAGCCGCATTTGGTCCCACTCTCTGTGTTTAGAAAACCTATGAAGATGCATCACTTTCACCACCCTTTTAATTTTAGAATTAATTTTAGCCATGTTTCTATTTATAATTTAGTTTTATTTTTAATCTAATTTGTTACACTTTAGATGTAATACTACATATTTTGTAGGCAATATATTATATATAATGTATTATATTATTTCAATACGGTGCACATATGTAGTGTTGACTAAAGATTCACAGTATATTGTACTATAACCATTAAAGATTCAGCTAGTCCTTGACTTATGACCATAAATGAGATCTGAATCTCAGTTGTTTTATTTTTTATATATTTATTAATTAAATTTGTTTTCCACCCATTCTCCTGCAAGGCAACTCATTAAACAAAATGACTGACAAACCACATGACTGAATCACTCAACAATCAAAATCCTAGCACTCCTGGTTACAATCATTAAGTGATCTTCCTGGATACAGCAAAAGAACTATCTGCTGGAGAATTTTAACTCTGTACAGAGCTGAAATCTTCCTAGCATACAGTCCTTCTGCTCTCAAATGTTCCTGGAGCCCACCAAAGGATTTGAGCTCCCCTTTGCCTTCAACTTTCCCTGCCAGCTTCGAACTTTCAGGGGAAGCTGGCAGAGAAGGTTGAATATGGCAATTGAAAGCCATGAAGTGTTTGGCAAAACTAGCTGTAAATGCAAACTAGTTGCCAAACACCAAAATTAAGTTACCTGACTGGGGGAGACAGGAAGGGCAGCACAGGCCATAAAGCACCTTTTCTAAGGCTGTTTAGCAACTCTGAACCATTGTTAAATAACTAGTCGTAAGTCAAGATCTATCTGGAGAAAAAAGAAAAGATGCTATATCAATGTTAACTATGATTTAAATTGTTATTTTTAATATACATTTAGCTTTTATATCAAAACCAAGTATAACATTAAGAAGCATCTGCAAATTACATCAAAATATTTTATTTTATTAATTTAGTATTTTTTTTATTCCACCTTTATTCCTTCTATAAGTAACTAAAGGCAACAGATTTACATAAAATGCTTTCTGTTCCTATTTTCTCCACAACAACCCACTGAGTTGGGTTGGACTGAGAGAAGTGATTGGCTCAGTCACTAGCCAGCTTTCATGCATAAAATGAGACCAAAATTCACAGTCTCCTGGTTTGTAGGCTGGCATTTTATCCACTACACCAAACTGGCTCTATTTGTTATACAATAAAGTTTCTGCCTTAAAATGAACTTAATACCCAGTCTCCACTATATTGTTATATACTACTGTTGTGCATCTTGAAAAAAAAGAAAAAAAAGAAACTAGCAAAATAGGTAACAAAAAGGAAAAAAAAGATATTTGGTTTCTAACTTTCTCCTTTTTGTGCTTCAGCTAATTTACAATGTTATAAATATTTAGGCCCCCTTGGACACCAAATTGTAAATGTTTAAATTTGCCATGCTATACAATATATTTTATGTTTGGGAACCATTCTTGTTTAAATTTGGTTAAACTTCTGTTGTGAATATATACTGTTAATTTTGCCATTTCTACATATTCTCCAAGTTCCCAATCCGATAAAATAATGTCAGAATTATATCTTTCTTCTAGTGCTGGGCAAAATTTATTCTCACAACGACAAACACGTGTCTCAGTAAATTATGATATTTCTAGTTGATGTTTTCTTGGATTGTACCTAGTAAGAACAGTTATGATTTCATTTTAATTTTAATTTCTAAAACTTTTAATTTCTAAAACATGGCTACTATGAATATTATTTTAGTAATTTGAGGTTTTTTTACATGTCCCACATGTGGTAAAATGTTTCATGGCATTTCTAATATTTATTACTATATATTTATTTATCTTGAAAATTATGATGAATATCATTGGTAAAACATTTTGTACTAATTTTCTTTTAAGTTGTACCTGGGAGTATATTTTTAAATGTTTGTTTCTTGTCTTGAATACTCACTGGAGAAAAAGATTAATATTGTCATATCAACTAAATTCAGTAGAAAGATGTGGCACAATGTAACTAGTCTCCTTGTGGTGCACCCCGGGCAACATGACTTTGCCATGACTAAATAGTCTATACATTCTGGCTATAGAACCTCACAAGGATCTCCCAGCAAAAAGCAGCATGAATATAAAAATGATGGCTCTTTTCAGATGCATTAGCGCTGTATTCTGTTATGCCATATGAAAAAATAAAAAGTAAAAAGATAGCAAAATGTAGAAATAATTCAGGAACCTCTTTCTGCTTAAACCTATTTAATCTTTGTTTGAGCTTTAAAAAAATATAGCAAGTACACAAAAAATAGAAATAATTACACAAATCTATGTGAAGAGTTTAAACTACGTTTAATTCACCAAACAATCATAGAAAAAAATAAGCAATTTACCTAATTCTAAAATGAAGGAGTTTTGGGTCAATGCTAAAGGACATGGGACGCATACTGTTAATTTTGTAACTGTTGGTAGTCTGCTTTCAACTTCAATCTGTTGGATCAAAATATTTGAAAGGTATTTACAGACAATAATAAAACAATACTTAAATAAATTGTAATTATAAATATATAACTAACATTTAGAACTTCAAAAATATTATTTCATCACTTTAGTAAATCAGTAGTTAATATTTCCACAGGAATTAACATATAAGCAATGGTCACGCACACAAGCATAAAGAGAAAGAGAGAGAGAGAGAGAGAGAGAGAGAGAGAGAGAGAGATGCACACACAGAAAAAAAAAAAATTTCCTTGTCATCCTGATCAGTAATCTGTAACTTCCCCAATCTCTGGTTATCTTGGGGTTTGGGGGTTCTGAGCAATACACTCTTCTGGACAGACAGCTCTGATATCATTCCTGGGATCTGTTGTAGCCACTCTCCCAGCCTAGGGTGTCATGGCCCCAAGTGTTCCAAACCACCACTGTCACCAATATATATATATTAAAAATTACATTAAAAATTGAAGAATAGCGATTCCTGGGTACATACATTTCAGTAAAAAAGGAAGCGATCACCAGGAGATAAAACACCAAGGTTTTAATAAATAAAATCAAGCTTTTGATGGCTAACATCTGCCATCATGGTCAGGATACAAGCCAGCTAGTGAGGAAAGCTGCTTATAAGCATAGCCACACCTAAACTCTACGCATGGACTGTTACAAGGTCCATGCGTAGAGTTTAGGTGTGGCTATGCTTATAAGCAGCTTTCCTCACTAGCTGGCTTGTATCCTGACGATGATGGCAGATGTTAGCCATCGAAAGCTTGATTTTATTTATTAAAACCTTGGTGTTTTATCTCCTGGTGATCGCTTCCTTTTTTACTGAGAAATATATATATAAACTATTATATATATATATATATATATATATATATATGTGTGTGTGTGTGTGTGTGTGTGTGTGTGTGTGTGTGTGTGTGTGTGTGTGTGTGTGTGTTATAAACTATTAACTTCAGGCTGGTGTTTTCAGCTTCGTGCTTCGAGCAGCAATGTGTGGTCTTAGCTGTTTCTTCCTTTTAACTGCCATGGGGGTATGAACTGATTGGGTGGGAGCTTGGCTGTGTTCTGATTGGGTGGAGGTGTGTTCTGATTGATTAGGGGCTTGGCTATGCTCTGATTGGCTGGGGGGTTGGCTGTGCTCTGATTGGCTGGGGGTTGGCTGTGCTCTGATTGGCTGGGGAAGTGTTCTGTTTGGTTGTGCTCAGGTTAGTCTGAGTTGCAGAGGGGTTTAAGATTTTGGGCTGCCTTGCTATTTTTTGGCTTTGCGTTCGTGGTCGTGCCTCCTCTTCATGGAGGGTGTCAGTTTGCTTCATGTATGGATTGGAGGGGTTTAAATTGGCTAATGATGCAGCTGTGGTCTGGCTTCTGGTTTGTGGTCGTGCCTCATCATCGGTGTGGCTTTGGGTTTGTTTTTTGCGTGGATGTGTGGTGGTGATATCCTGTGTGGTTTTTGTGAGTGTGGGTCTGGTATCATTTTTTGTGTTAGGGAGTCGTTTGTCAATAAGGGTGGGTTTCCAAATGGATGGTAGGCGGGAGGTATCATCTCGCTTGTTCATGCTGTGTGGGCGTTTTTCTATCTCGATGGCTTCTCTGATTATTCTGTTATTAAAATGTTCACTTTTGGCAATGGTTCTGGTATTTTTAAAGTCAATTTCATGTCCTGTGGCTTTAAGGTGTTGGATCAGGGAAGATGTTGGTTCCTCTTTTTTTGACTGAGTTCTTATGTTCTTCAATGCGTGCACTTATTCTTCTGTTGGTTTGTCCGATGTATGTGGTGGGACAAGTGGTGCATGGGATTTCGTATACTCCTTGATTTTCTAATTCAATTTTATCTTTGGGGTTTCTACGGATGGTGGATATTTTTTTGTTTGTGCAGAATGCTGTTTTGATGTTGTGTTTATGGAGGATCTTACTGATTCTGTCTGTGGTGCCTTTTATGTACGGGAGGAGGGCTTTGCCGTTTTCTTGTTCTTTGTCTTGGATTTTAGTGGGGGTTTCTTTTTGGATTAGGTTTGTAATCCTATTTCTGAAAGAAGACACCAGCATAATAATCCTACCAGCAGACAAGGGCAACGCCACGGTGGTTATGAACACATCTGACTACCAAACCAAATTAACCAACCTACTCCAAGACTCCACATACAAACCCCTAAATACAGATCCCACCACCTACCTGGAAAAAACCACCAGATCCAAAATAAAAGCCTCCCCCATTAGCGAAGAGATCCAGCAAAGAATCATTCCCAGAGAGAAATCATCCAGATGCCCCAAACTCTATGGTCTCCCCAAGATACACAAAGAAGGAACCCCACTCAGACCTATAGTCAGCTCCATAGGCTCACCTCTACAAAACCTAGCCAAATTTCTCGCCAAACAACTACAGCCCTATGCAGAATCTATCACCTCACACGTAAAAAACTCATTCCAGTTTATAGAGATCATAAAGAAACAAAACTTACAGCCCAGCGACCTACTAGTGAGCTTCGATGTCATATCCCTCTTCACCCAAGTGCCTATCAAAGAAGCCTTGACAGCTATTCAAAACAAATATAACCCCCCCAAACACATCTTAGATCTGACCAACCACTGCCTATCCAACACATACTTCATCTATAATGGACAAAAATACAAACAAACAGAAGGAGCACCCATGGGATCACCCCTCTCACCTGTCATTGCCAACCTCTACATGGAACACTTTGAAACCCAAGCTCTAGAAAAATCGGATCACAAACCCAAACTCTGGCTCAGATACGTAGACGACACCTTCATAATCTGGCCACATGGGAAAGAAAAACTGGACAACTTCCTCACACACCTCAACAGCCTACACCCCAAAATACAGTTCACCATGGAAACAGAAGCTAACAACCAACTTCCCTTCCTGGATGTCTTAGTCTACAAGAAATCCAATGGCTCCCTAGGACACACCATCTACCAGAAGAAAACACACACAAACCGCTATCTGCACGCTCTCTCACACCACCACCCAGCACAGATCAACTCTGTAGCCAAGACACTCATCTCCAGAACAAAACGCTTAGCTGACGAACAACACCTAAAAACTGAACTACACACTCTCACCAATGTACTAACATCCAATGGATTCCATAGAAATAAGATTACAAACCTAATCCAAAAAGAAACCCCCACTAAAATCCAAGACAAAGAACAAGAAAACAGCAAAGCCCTCCTCCCATACATAAAAGGCACCACAGACAGAATCAGTAAGATCCTCCATAAACACAACATCAAAACAGCATTCTGCACAAACAGAAAAATATCCACCATCCTTAGAAACCCCAAAGATAAAATTGAATTAGAAAATCAAGGAGTATACGAAATCCCATGCACCACTTGTCCCACCACATACATCGGACAAACCAACAGAAGAATAAGTGCACGCATTGAAGAACATAAGAACTCAGTCAAAAAAGAGGAACCAACATCTTCCCTGGTCCAACACCTTAAAGCCACAGGACATGAAATTGACTTTAAAAATACCAGAACCATTGCCAAAAGTGAACATTTTAATAACAGAATAATCAGAGAAGCCATCGAGATAGAAAAACGCCCACACAGCATGAACAAGCGAGATGATACCTCCCGCCTACCAGCCATTTGGAAACCCGCCCTTATTGACAAACGACTCCCTAACACAAAAAATGATACCAGACCCACACTCACAAAAACCACACAGGATGTCACCACCACACATCCACGCAAAAAACAAACCCAAAGCCACACCGATGATGAGGCTCGACCACAAACCAGAAGCCAGACCACAGCTGCATCATTAGCCAATTTAAACCCCTCCAATCCATACATGAAGCAAACTGACACCTTCCATGAAGAGGAGGCACGACCACGAACGCGAAGCCAAAAAATAGCAAGGCAGCCCAAAATCTTAAACCCCTCTGCAACTCAGACTAACCTGAGCACAACCAAACAGAACACTTCCCCAGCCAATCAGAGCACAGCCAACCCCCCAGCCAATCAGAGCACAGCCAACCCCCCAGCCAATCAGAGCACTGCCAAGCCCCTAACCAATCAGAACACACCTCCACCCAATCAGAACACAGCCAAGCTCCCACCCAATCAGTTCATACCCCCACTGGCAGTTAAAAGGAAGAAACAGCTAAGACCACACATTGCTGCTTGAAGCACGAAGCTGAAAACACCAGCCTGAAGATGACCAATGGGACTTCGTCGAAACGTCGCCAAGACACTTCCAATTTTACACGGGAGAAGACCCGAACAACCAAAGACCTACATGTATATATATATATATATATGCTGGAAAATTTGCATAAAAATACGACTCCTGGGCATGTCTGTGGTACAAATAAAATACGAACACCAGGAGAGTATAAATATAAAAATATACTTTACTAAAAGCTGCCAAGCTTTTGTTTGGAAACTCCAAACATCATCAGGGCTAAGGAGCCAGTAAACAATGATGACTTAAATGGGTTTTGCCGGCATCTGCAGTCGGCTCATGGACCGCGTCACCGGTCCCGGCCGGTTAATTAGTGTTCCAGATGTTTCTTTATTACTCTCCTTATGCTTCCTTCTATGGTTCTTCCGGATCGTTCCTTCCACTATCTCATTACTGGCATTCATCTCCACCACCACCCCTTTATCTTTATTTCCTTCCATAGTACTGACCCTCCTCCCCTTTTTGTTTTCATTTTCCACTCTGGGGGCATCTGTTTCTCCTCTATCAGTGTTACAAGCTTCCCTGGGCTCACTGATGCTCCCCCCCACACACACTTTTCTCAATCCCTGCTCCACACCCTTTCTTCTCACTCTTCCACTGTCATGAGTAACTTTCATACGGGTGTTGCATATTTGGGGGTCTGTGCCCTCCTCCTCCGTCCTGGCAATCTTCGTGTCGACAGTTCTCCTCCGTTCCATTTGTTTGCTGCGTGATCGGGTGCTTACTCCGTCTCTCAATTCATCATCCCCCCTCCTCCCTATCGCATGCTCTT